AAAAAAAAAAAAAAAAAAAAAACATCCCTCGAAAGAATAGCAGCAGTCGGGTACACCGAAAAATCCATTGCCAAACATCATCAAAAAAATGCACTTCTCGAAAGTTCTAAAAAAAAAGGCGCGTGAAGCGCATGCGAAACAACGGGCTCAGGAACCTCTTCGTGCCAGCCCTCGACTACGACTCCCGTCTACGACAAACACATTCCCCCCCCCCGCCCCCCCCCCATGAGACAAGGACCGAATCCATTGACGACTCCACATCATTGCGCGGGAAAACCAACTTCTCGGCCACGACGACAATCAAGAGCCGAAATACGAAAAGACGAACGCAGAGGACGAGTACTACATCAGCAATCCCGTCGCACTCCCGATGCGCGACGGACTGGACCTATACAGCGTCGTCGAATACAAGAACAAACACCTAAAAAGAATCCGACCGCGACGGCAGACCCTCACTGGCGATCGCGCGCGTGAGCGAAAGACGAAAGAGCTGTCGGCCGACTATGGCGGGGCACGACTTCAACGGGACGAACAGGTAGGCGGCTAGGTGGATCAAACGTGTTTCATCCGCTGCGCCAGTGCATTGCGGAGCGCATGAGCCTCGCGCGTCGAAGTCAACATGGACACTGGCTGCGGGGGGCGATGAATCCCCAGGTCCACTCGCCGCCTCACCCCGTTCGCGTCGATCTCCCTCAACAAATTCTCGTCGAACTCGATTTCTGCATCGAGCAGGATGTTGTGGAGAATGCATACCGCCGTGAACTGCTGCGGCAGACTCTCGAGGTTCGTCTTGTGCGTCCGCAGGAAGAGCCTCCACATCCCTTTCAACCTCCCGAACGCCCTCTCCACGGCCCCTTTTGCGACCTTCTGTTTCGTGTCGAACCTTTCCTCGTCCGGGTGCTGATTGATTACTCTGTACGGCACCACCACCCACTTAGAAGGAGGATACCCGTTGTCGAACAAGATGTATCCGTTCGTCGTCACCCCTCCCGGCAGCGTCACAAGCGGCCCATGAAACAACAATCCCTCTTCCGCGCGCCTCGACAGACTTGACAGCTGGGTCACCCTAATGTCGTGGCAGCTACCCGAATATCCCACGAACACATCAAGGACGCGCAGATCCAGGTCCACCACAACCTGCGCAATGACGGAAAAACGGTGCTTGCGGTCGAAGTAGTTCTTGCTAGGCGCGTTCGCCGGTTTGTCCACGTAGATGTGTGTGCAGTCAACTGCGCCATGGCAATTTGGAAAGCCCTTGTCCAGAAAAGCCCGTAGCATGACTTGTTTCTGCACCCCCGTCGGCCACGATATCTTCTCCCCGTACACCCTCAAAATGGCGGCTGTCACATCGAGCACGGCTTGAACTCCGAAAGTCCTGCCCATGCCGAAGGATGATGTGCTGTTATCATAAGACTCTCCTGTGACCCACCTATACAGCGCGTATGCGACGATCTGCTCCGGCTATAGTGGCTCCCTGTAAAACGTCACCTGCCGCTGCACATGAGGCGCACATGCTTCACTGATCTCCATGAACACTCTCCTCTACATGCGGAGCTTTTCCCGGAAGTAGTCCTCTGTCGAGTCATCGCAACCCCGTAAATCCTCCCAAGTCCCGCCAACTCTCCGCCACATCCACCAACGTGGCCTCGCCCGAGGAAGCAAACCGCACCCGATAGCAGCACACAGCTGAACCACGGCTTGGGATGTGGTGATGCAGTCCGGGGCGTCCAACACCCTTTGCAGCAGTAGCCTCTGCCGCCGCCTCGAAAGCGCTGCCTTCATGCGCCCGGCCGCACTCTCGATTTGAAAACGACGGACAACGGCAACCGCAGCCGTCGCGACTGCTGTCTTCTCCATCGTCGACAGCACAGAAGGTCCATCGCCATCGCAGCCGTCCATCACGTCCCTCGTAGACAAAAAACAACGTCCACCGCCGCCCACCTCCGTGCACGTATGCCGCCACGGTTGAAGACGCCTGCAACCACATTAGGAAGACAACCTAGCCCAGCGACGTGATTCCGATTGGAGCGTCCACCCACCACTGCTGGCGTCCACCCACCACCGCGGTGCTTGCACGTGGCGAACGCGACTGCCTATCGGACGTCTTCGTTTCGTCGCGTCGACCACACTTGACGCAGTGGCGGTGCGGCGCCGTTGAAATACGCAACGCGATGGCAAACGAAACCCTGCGCGGCGTAGGCTGCCCCCTGGCTGACCCGCCTGTGCGCCGCCACCACGTCGCTCCGCAACATCAAAATTCAAAATTCGAATTTTGAAAGGGGATTTTCCCGCATTGGCGATTTTTTTCCAAGGGCCCGTGACGTCTTCCCGCCGTCCGCGTTTTGGCCCACCACGACTGCTACACGGACATCCCGAATCGGAGGCCAGACATTCCTCTCGCGGCTGTGTATAATCTAATTAAACTGGCCGCGGGAGGGCCCCGAGGATTCGTCCTCGGGGCAATTCTCCGAGGACAGGTGGAATGACACCTCCGAAAATCAAAAATTACTCTGAGGATTCGTCCTCGAAGCCCGAGGACGCGCTGAGGTGTGTCGAACGACGCCCTAAGCTCAGGAGGACTTTAGTCGGAAAGATTACGTTGTGTTGGCAAAACTGAGGGATTACAGGTAACGCAGAGTGCAGGGGCACGGTCCCACTAGCACCCGGATTAGCCTTAGCTATATCTGGGGCTCATGTGTTTTCTGTAAAACATTGTAGGCCGATCGGTAAGGGCCGCCCATTGGCGTAGATCTTACGGCTCTGCTTTTTTCTTCAATTGTTTGGTTTGTTTCACTTTTTCTATGTCTTCCAAATGAAAATGGACGCCCTCCCATTGGCCATGCATTGAAAAGAGAAGAAAATGCATGCGAGGGGCGTCTTCTCTCTAGAGCACACTATTTTTGGGTAGAGGGCGGTCATCTTTCCCTGAAAAATAACTCGGAAAGTTGAATAAAAAGTAAGGAAATTGGTAAATAATGTGACCTGGCAGTTGCCCTGTGAGAATGGGAAGCGTCGTCCTTCCACGCCCGTAAGTTCAACATCAGAGGCTGGCGCAACACTGTAGTGTACCGGGCCCATAATACAGCCCGATACATTTTCAAGAAACCTCTCAGACCCAGAAACGAAACCTGATTTCTTTTTTCTTTTTTCTATTTCTAACTATTTCTTGAAGTCTCTTTAATACGGAAAACACATGTGCCCCGGATACAACTAAGGCTAATCCGGGTGCTAGTGGGACCGTGCCCCAAAGGGCAGATGGAAAGTTTCAGGAGATTTTGGTGAGTCGCAGATAGACTTCCAGGAAGTGAAGCCGGGTAATGCTCTTGGATATGAATGTCATTAGGATCATGGGTTGAGAAAGTGCTCATTCCTTTGCATCTTTTGGTAGATTTCAATTGTTTATTTTTCCCTTTTTCTTCAGAAATAGCAAGACTGTTGATAGGAGCATGGGACACTGGACCCGGTTTCCAGTTAGCCTCCCTGAGGC